GTGCAATTTGATAACTACAGAGTTGGATGGTCTCGTGGTACGTGATAAGATTCTCATGGCTGTTCCGGTGTCCCATTATTTCATATTTAGTGACCATAATTGACTTCTAATTGAGATAAACATTCATTTTTTTTTTTTAAGGGGAGAAGATTGATGAAGATGGTTTTACTATTCATGTTTAACAATTAGATTTTATATATTATTATTAATTTTTTTAGTATTTTATAATTTTTAGGGAGAGTTTAATTTTAAATTGTTTCTTTATATTTTTAATTTCTTGAGCAATTAGTTTCTTTTTTGTTATTAGGTTTTTATATCCTATTTCTAGGGTTTTTTTTTTTTCTTTTTCTTTTTTTTCGGGTGGAAGTCCATGGTGGTGATGGCGACTGTAGTGGAAGGTAATGGAGGGGCCGACGGTGTGGCAGTTGAAGACGAGAATAATGGTGGCGGTGGCGGTGGCGGTGGCGGTGGCGGTAACAGTGGTGGAAGGTAATAGAGGTGGCGGTAGTGAAAGGCGGAGATGGTTGTGGTGGAAGGTGATCGTAGTGGTATTAGTGGCGATGGTGATGGTGGTTTTTGGAGGGAAGTTGATTTTTTTTTTTTTTACAAAAATTATTTAGAAATATAATGGTCATTTCATAAGTTTAGTAATAGAATGATTTTTCATTCTTAATAATGGATTTTCAATTTAATGGAATGACCAACGCAACATTACAATTATAAAGTTTTATTTATTATAAATAAATGTAGAGAAATCAATTCAATTACCAATCATATAATCTAAGTTATCCTTTTTCTTTTCCTTTGTATTTTCCACTACAAATCGAAAATTTATATCAATGGACTAAATTCTTTGAACCCACAATTAAATCGGGTGGGGGCTTGGAGGACTCCAAAAATCGCTTAAGAGTTGAGGCTCTAACGGATACCCATAGCAGTTTGGAAGAATGGGTTGGTGCCTCTGTAATGGTTGGTTTATTTAGGGTTAAGTGCAAAAAACCTCTCTACTATCGATATAGTGCAAAAAGGTCCATGTGTGGTATAAAACCTCCTATACTATCAATTTGGTGCAAATATGGTCCCTTTGCTGTATAAAATGACTATAATATCTTTACTTTAGTTAAATAAATTAATAACTATAAATATAGGCCATGTAAAATGACCCTTTTGTCTAATTTGTGTAAAATTGTGTTTGTTTAGGACAAGAATAAAATAAACCTCAATTTGTATAAAATTGGGACAAGCTAAACCAAGGAACCTAAAACTGGATATAATAAAAACCGAAACCAAACAGTCCCTAACACACACTAGCACTATTTATCCAAAAAAAAAAAAAAAAAAACCCAAAATCACCCATGCTGCCATAGCGGCCGCCTCCTCCCACCTCCTCCTACTTTGTCTGTCTAAGCTTAGACCTCCCTTTGAACCCATATATCTCATCATACTTGAAGTACATATTTTGGGTTCTTTTTATTTTTTGTTCACTGCAGATCAATCTTCTTTACTCTCTTTTTGCACCTACGAAGGCACTCTTAATTTCTCTCTCTCTCTCGTAGATTGATGTTGTTCTGGTGTATATGTGACTGGTTGGAATTACGTGGCAGTAAAAAAACACAGAAAGGCTTGCTTCGAAGTGAAACATTCCTGGGTCTATCCATTGTGTTTACCCTAATATAATTTTAATTTTATTTTATGTATCTATTGAATTGATAAAAAAATTTTAAAAAAAAAAAATACATGCAAAAGGAATATATATATATATATATATATATATATATATATCATAGAGAGAGAGAGAGAGAGAGGGGAGGGGGCGGGGGAACGGGGTTTAATATGCACATATGGGTAAGGGGCTAGAATGGGAATCAAAAGGGTAAAATAGAATTTTCATATTTAGTTTTTGTCAAAAGGTGGTCAGAGGGATTTATTTGCATTTTTTTTTTTTTAATTTTATTGACTAACATACATATTTTCAAAAAGTAAAGACTAATTCTACACAAACCCTATATATCAAGGGTGTTTTTTTGCACTTAACCCGTTTATTTATGCCATTTTTATTATTATTATTTTTTTACAACAAACTCATGCACTCATTCACGTAGCTCACGCAGGACACGCCCCCACTGTATTTCTAATTTAATTATATTTTCAATACAATTATTTTAACAATTATAGTTTTGCCCCACTGAACTCTATACAAATTTACAAAAGTCCTTCAAAATGCAACAATTCAAAAAGACCTCATTTTTTTTTTTTTGTTTTAATTCATTGGCTCAATAAGTTTCTTAAAATAAATAAATAAACCCATGTCCACCTGTGGAGCCATGTTATTTTCTATACACAATTTTTATAATATATTTGTGAACCCACTAAACTCTATATATAAGTTCACAAAAGTCCTTTAGAAAATATTATAAAATTCAAAAAGACCCCTCCTTTTTTATGTCACTGACCTAACAAGTTTCTCAAAATACAAAAAAAGACTGAGAAACAAAATTTTAACGAATTTGGTGTTGGGATAAAGGGTGTGTTTGGATAAATAGGGGAGAAAAGAAAAGAAATGATAGTATTAGATAGGAGAGAAAAGAAAAGAAAAGAAAAGATAGTAATAGTTTATATTCGTGTTTGAATACATAGGGGAGAAAAGAAAAGAAATGATAGTTATCCATTTCCAAAATCTTGTTTCTTTTTTATAGTTGAATGCCATGGGTAAAAACAAAAGTAAAAAAAAAAAATTAAAAAAAAAAAAGTATCACAAGACTAAGATGAACCATTCAACATGGTTGAAGGTAATAACAGTTTTTAACCTTTTTTATGAACATGTGAAAATTTTCTTTTTGTTGTATCTGTTATACCTATTCGACTTAATCCCTTTCCATCCTAAAATTTTTAATAACTTTTAGCATTGTCATATATCCTTGCATTCCACTAAGCATATTGAGATTTATATGTTGATTTATAAAGGACATTTTTGATATTAATAATTTGTAACTTACCATCCCTCTCCTATCTTCTCAAATTAGAAGAGAAAATATCCCTCTCCTATCTTCTCAAAGTAGAAGAGAAAATATATAAGGGATATATCTCTCCCTATCTCTCTTTTATCACCACTTAACCCATCCGAACTCACTCTCACACTATTCTCTATTTTCTTTTCTCTCCTGTCCCTCCAAATCAACCCTACCAAACACACCCTTCTTGATTTGAAGAAATTCATTAAGACTAAACTCTTGTGTTTGAATTTTTGAAGAACTTTTGGTAGGATTAGCATTGGCTATTCTTGTGTGGGTGTTTATAGATACAGTCATTTTGAGATTATAGCGAACGATCAAGGAAACAGAATCACTCCATCATGGGTTGCATTCACAGATACAGTGCGATTCATCGGAGAGGCTGCAAAGAATCAAGCTGCCAAAAACCCCGAACGCACAATTTCCGATATTAAGCGTCTTATTGGATACGTGAAAATCTATGTGGGTTTTGCATTATAATCTTTGTGGGTTTTGTGTCTTGAAATGTAATTTGATTTTGGTCTATTGCAAGTATCTTTGTGGGTTTTGTGTATTGAAGTGTAATTTGATGTTGGTCCGTTGTAAGTGAATTTCTACGTGTTCTTACATTATAATGTGGGTTTTGAGTAGTAAAGTGTAATTTGATTTTGGTCTATTGTAAGTGAATTTGTATGTGTAAACATACATTATAATCTTTGTCGTTTTAGTGTATTGAAGTGTAATTTGATTTTGATCTATTGTAAATTTATAAGTGAAATTCTGTGTGTTTACATTATAATCTTTGTGGGTTTTGTGTATTAAAGGGTAATTTGATTTTGGTCTATTGTAAGTGAGATTAAGTGTGTGTTTACGTTATAATTTTTGTGGGAAGTTCTCTCTAGGTAATTGATTGGCACCAAGAATCGTATCCTCTGGTATGGAGATTTCCCAGTTCTTCCCCCCTTTTCTGTTTTTTTCCATCACTTCCTTTTTTTCTTGACAGATTTGTCTTTGACGTTCTGTGTTCCTTTCAAATTTATTTTTTGTTGTTGTTATCTTTTCAAGTTTGATTGTTAGATCCATCAATTACACACACATATGCTTACATGTATGTGAATAAATACATGTCATATATGGCTGTTTCAAATATATGGTTGGCCAGCATAGAATTTAAATCTAGTTGATTCATCGCCAACCTAGTCCACAAATCATTCCGGAAGGCTGTCATTGTTCTGTTTTTTTCCAATCAATGAGGACCCATTTGAGGAGACTTAACCTTCAATTATGGAGACTAATGGCATTCAAACAAGGGGAAGAGTATGAGAATACAAGTCGAGTAACGGTCGGGAAGGAAATTGTACAAAAGTGTAAGGGAGTTCCTCTTTCCATAAGGTCTATAGGAAGCCTACTATACTATAAAGATACAGATGCTGAATGGTTGATTTTCAAAAATAATGATTTGTCAAAAATAGCTCAAGAAGAGGATGTTCTTTTACCAATACTAAAGTTAAGTTATAATCACCTTCCTCCGTATTTGAAGAGATGCTTTGTATTTTGTTCCTTATATTTGAAAGATCAAAAGATTGTTAAGCGAGAATTAATCCAGTCGTGGATTGCACATGGATTCATTCAGTCATTGTATGAAAATCAACTATTGGAGGATGTAGAAGATTTGTATTTTATGGGTTTATTGAGGAGGTCCCTCTTTCAAGACGTTGAAAGAGATGAATGGGGTAAAATAGCAAGTTGCAAAATGCATGATCTGGTCCATGACCTTGCACAATCGGTGTCAAGGCTTGAGAACTCCACTTTGAATTCAGGTGCAAAAAATGTTAGTGAAAGAACTCGTCATATGTCATTTGGTTTCTATTCATTTCGGAAAATTCCAACCCACTTGGTGAGAGCTAAGAAGTCGCGAACATTTATTTTGAAGAATACATATTTAGAACCCAAATCTTTTGAAATGACTGTTTCAACTTTTAAATGTTTCGCGTTTTGATTGTGTCCAACATGTATTTGTTAAATACCGTGCCAAATTACATAAGCAAGCTGAAACATTTAAGGTATCTTGATCTTAGTGGTAGTGATATCAAGGCTCTCCCAAATTCCATAAGCAAGTTACAAAATTTGCGGACTCTAAAACTGAATAGATGTTTCCATCTTGAAGAATTGCCAAGAGATATTAGAAAATTGGTCAGCCTTAGGCATCTTGAGTTTGACCAGTGTCTTAAGTTGAACAGCATGCTGCCATGGGGATTGGGCCAGTTGACGTCTCTTTTGACATTAACAAGGTTTGGAGTGGACTCAAATAGCCGGTTGAGTGAATTGCAAAGCCTAAACAATCTATGTGGACGCTTAACTATTGAAATTCTTGGACGTAGGGACTCAAGTAGCCCCCAGTGTTTGAAAAATGCAACAGCAAAGGGAGCTGAGGCAACGAACTACTTGGAGGCTAAAAAACACCTGAAGTCGTTGATATTATGTTTTGATAGGGTTGATCACGATGATGACGAGTTATTGTTGGAATCCCTACGTCCACACCTGAATCTGAAGGAGCTGAAAATAGAGTATTATGGGGGAATGAGTTTCCCAAGTTGGATGATGATGGTTGACAAAGTTGGCTTATCACTCCCGAATCTCATCAGAATTACTATAGACAGCTGTGACAAATGCAAACATCTTCCACTATTTGGGCAACTTCCTTCTCTCCAGTTTCTGTGTCTTTCTTTTATGTATTCCTTGGAGTACATAGACAACAGTAGTACTGGCAGTGATGGTGAGGTGTCTCTCTCGTCTTTACCCTCTTCTTCATCTTTAATAAGGAGATCAGAGCAAACACCAACACCAACATTCTTCCCATCCCTGAAAGAACTCCAACTCCATCCAATGCCTAATTTGAAGGGATGGTGGAGAGAAGCAGTAGAAGAAGAAGCAACAACAAGTAGTGCAACTCTACTAGACCAACAGAAACATCAACAACAGCATTATTGGCTCCCATCATTTCCTTCTCTTTCCAAATTAAACATCGAATATTGCCCTAATCTGACATCAATGCCTATTCTGCAACCATGTCTTGAACAACTACATCTCGAAAATGTCAGTAACAAGCTAGTTGAACAACAGTTAATGATGACGGTGCCCCCAATTGCATCCAAGTCATCATCCTCTTCATCTTCTTCGCTTCTTCATCTTTCCAAATTAAAGACTCTAAGTGTTGTCAACATTCAGGACCTAGTTACTCTGCCAGAGTGTATAGGCAACCTCACATCACTTGACCGACTTTTCGTTGGCAATTGCCCCAATTTGACATCATTGCCCAAAGGAATGCAACGGCTTGCTGCATTACAACAACTCACAATTACATCATGCACCGACGTTTTATATGATAGATGCCATAAAGAAACCGGGGACGATTGGCCAAAGATTGCTCACATCCGAAATGTTTATATTGCATAATTTCTTCCGTGGCATACCAGGTAAATCCTTTTTTATCTGAATTTTTTTAAGACCATAAAACTCCATCTTATTGCTCTATGTTCCTCCTCATTGTCAATCTCTTCGTTTAAGTTCAATAGATATTTTGTGGGACAGGTACAAACTCGGAAATGTTTCCATGTGTGGATCAAACTTATATAAAAATATAAAAATGGTCGTTTTAGCCTTCTCAGGCTAAGAAATTATTCCAAATAACCATATTGCTTTATTTGCATATAACCCCCTCTCTAACCCTTATTTTTGTGCTCTCTAGTATTTCTTCTTCTTCCTTTTTTATTTTTTATTTTACACTTAAAGAGGTATTTTTGAAGAGAAATATATTAATACTCATATAGATGTATATATGTTTTTCGCTCGTGCAACTTCCATGAATGTAGCTATAGAAAGGAGATAATACTATTGATATTGTCCTTTTACCATTATCTTATTTCTCATTTTGACCCTATCACGAAATGTCAAATGTTCTGTTTGTGCTGGTGTTATGGGGTAGCTTGATGAGCACATAATTGGACTTTGTTTAATCTCAAACGTGAGACATGCCATTAGCTTATTATTATTATTATTATTATTATTATGTAAGTTCTATTGACATGCTTGCAATTTTTTTACATTCTTTTCTACAATGATAACTATTTTTTGCAAATTTTGGCTCTAACGTAATAAAGTTCCACCTAATGAATGATTCTCTTAATTGTTGGGAAACAAATTACAGAAAATTGTGAATGCCAAAGAAAAATATAAGGATAGCTACTGCAGAGAGGAAAAAAATGTAAGGATAGCTGATACAAGGCAGAAAATTGTGAATGCCAAAAGGACAATTACGAAAACCAGCGAGCATGATCGAGCCTCAAAGCAATTGGCCAAGGCTATAGGGATGAGTGTTAGTAGTCTAGATACAAAATTGCGCAATGGAGGTGAGTCAGGAGAAAGAATTTTATAAAGTTACTGGAGACTTGTTGTCAATACTCGTGATCAAGGCAAAAGATTAAACTTGTAAGACCTGATTCAGGTAGTTATACATTTTGTTTTCCATTTTTCTGCCTGCGTTCCATGAAGGTTATTTTATTTTCTCTTTGGAGCACAGATATTCAATCCAGAGGGAGAATATAATCTGTGAACATATGTTTAGTGGTGGATGAGACAAGCTATTACTGGGGCAATAGCAAACAAGTATAGGATGATCAGATTACTGGTAAGACACTTTACGAATGAACAGATTTTTTTGAATTGTGCTTTACAACTAAATTATAACGATTTTCCTCCCAAGAGATTGCAGTTGTGAGCATGAATGTTTCAACTATTGTACTTGTTTTTGAAAGAAACTGAGGCCCAATTTCCAACTATTGTAAATTTTTCTCACTATTGTTTATTGATTAACGAAATTCTAAGATGCAAACTAAATGAAGTGAAACATTTTTACAGTTTTATTATGCAGTTTCTATGCCAGAGTGGATACGCAATCTCACATAACTTGAATAACTTCCTGTCAGAAATTGACATCACTGCCCATTGGGATTCGTCGGCTCACTGCATTACAACTCCTCAGAATTACGTCATGTGCCGATGTGTAATATGATAGATGCCTGAAAGAAACGGGAAGATTGGCCAAAGATAGCTTGCATCCCATATGTTTATATTGAACAACCTCTGTGGCATACAACTATACAAGGTAAATCTCTTTTGATCTGAATTTTTTCAAGACCATAAAACCCCATCTTATTCTTCTCTTTTGCTGTTCATTGTCACTCTCTTTATGTAAGTTCACTTCATCTTTTCATGGGACAGGTACGAAAGAATCATTGCTAGAAATATATTGTACAATATTCCACATTGCATTACAAATTCCAACTAAAAACTAGAAATTATCCTCGTATTTCTTTCTTCTTCTATTTTTTTATTTTATTTTACACTCTTTAACACATATTTTTGGATTAAAATATATTAATCTTCATTTTCTATATTTATATATATATATATTTGTGTCTCTTTTGCTTGTGGTACTTTCATGAATGTAGATAAAGAAAGGAGATGATTCCATTGAAATGATGAAACTAGGTCCATACACTCTGCCTACTAGCATTATGCACTAACAAAAGCAGACAATGGCACTGGTTAGAAGGATTATGAGATTATGTATCCAACTCTTTTGCTGGACTGACCATTTGCAGGTCTTTGTTAATTTCTGCCGGGACTCACCGTATGAATAACATATATATAAAGGTGCATCAAAAGACAAACTCGCTAACATCTGATTTTAGGGAGTGAGTGGTTCCGCTAGTATTTACTACTTGGTTTCTTCCACTCCTAAGTTACTAGAGTTAGCTTCCGACATATATATATCTTTGGCCATTTCTGAATATCCCTAAAAAAATCCACGATCTTTTAGCTACATTGAACTATTTAAAACTAGTTGATCATCATAACCTGAATCACAATTCACATGGATCTTTGATGCGGCACTTGATAGAAATTTGTAGCTTATTTTGTTCAGCATATTAGTATGAAGTTTCTGCAAATTTACAGCAAGAAACAGGGTGGAAGCAGCCGAAAGGGAGATTACAAAAATTATCGAGCATGAGCAGACACACAGAAATTGGCCAAGGCTGCTGACAAGATTTTGTGTACTGGAGACGAGTCGGGAGAGATTAAGGTTACAACACCTGATTCAGGTCACTATACATTTTATTTTCCATTTTTCTGCCTGCTTTAGATTAAGACTCAATTTCTTTCTTCCCATGTTGCGGGAAGGAGCAGGGATGTTCATATAAGTTGTGAACATATGTTTAGTGGTGGACGAGACAAGCTATTACTAGGGCAATTAGCAAACGAGTCGAAGATTATTAGATTACGTGTAAGACACTTTACCAGTGAACAAATTGTTTCAAATTGTGATGCCACACATTTTGATTCTAGAAGGAGTTACTTGTGATTTGTGAGAGTCTCTTATTGCTTATTGCATTTACTATCAGGAAGTACAGCAAGCTGCTCAGAAAGCTTACGATGTGGAAAGGGTTGATGAGATTGTAAAGAAAGCTTTAGCAGTGGCCAACAAAGGAGCCAATGCAGCTAGAGAAGGCTGTCCAAACTCAAATGCATCACAGAAAGTCGGTTGAAGCGAATGTGACTGATTGAGCAGCAAGATAGGTATCCTCCATTTTATGGCTTCGATAATGTGTAAATAGGCTTAGTTGGAGGTCTACAAGTGAAGGATATAGCTAAAGCGTTTGCGATACTCTAGGATTTTCTTCTCTGTGTAAGCATTTAAATGTATTTTTATGTGCATTTGGCCTAAATAAATTGGCCATCTAGACTTGCAACTTCATCGGAATCTTCAAACAGAGTCACTGTCTATATATATCAACTATGGCTTTTATGAGTAATGTGGCCCTCAAATGTGCTTTATACGTTCACGCTTTTCTTCTACAAACTCACTTAAGCAAGAAATGGAATTGCTTAACACATGTTTGCATTTTTTTTCTTCTGAAAATAAACATGTATGCCTTTGTGGGTAAATAGTTTAGATTTCTTTCTTTTTGTTAATTGACTGTGGATCATGTTCTATGCAAATGCCCTCAAACTCGGTCCATTTGGTGTTATAGCCTTCTTTGCCTTGATTTTTCTGATTTCTCGTGGCAGAGTAGATGGATGATGTTGATTCAAAAATGGAACCAGAGTGATAATCCGGCTGATTGCATTAGTTTAGAGGAAGGCGTGGAATTTTTAAGACAAAGTCTAGTCCTCGTGTTATTGTATATAGAATTTGCTGGGATTTTTATGATTTCTGAAATATCTCATATTACTGATGCACCAGAGTGCACCCATACTCTTGGGGCCCAGCTGGTTTACAAAGGCGGCTGCATAAAGAACCACATAGTAAAAGCAATATGTGGAGTGAGACTTATTCCCATCAATGGAAATCAATTTGGATTGAACCTGGAAGCCAGCAGCGACGCATGCATCACAGTAATTGAAGTCACTGAGATCCTGTCGACAGTTTAAGTCGATGGCGGTGGACGGCCCAAGGAGGTGGAGCCAGTCTGGCCGGGATTGGATATGGGCACATATGTCGGTGGTGCTAACGAACTGCTGGGGTTCAAAACACTCAGAAGTGTGATTGGAAGGCACAGAGAGAGAGAGAGTTGAGCTTCGTTTGGAATTGAGAGAGGCAAGAAATGGAGGTGGGTAAGTCAGGACGTAGGAAGAGAGAAGTGTCTTTGAGGTTTTGGGACAGGGCTACAACATATATGTTGAGGAGGGTTTGGGAACAATCTGTTATGGTGTTTGTTTGGTAGTTTTGGCAACTAGAGAAGTCCCATTGGTAGATTTGGAAATAGTCTAGGCTCATGGGACCTGCATGAGGTTGTGTTAGTTGGGGAAGAAAAGGCTGAGCTTTGAGAAAAAAATAAAGAGAGAGACCATTATTGACATTAACACAAGATGAAACTTCGTCTTGGAGAGAGAGAGTCTATGCAGCTACTGTTTGTTTGGTTTTTGTTTTTTTTCCTGACAAACAAAACCAAAACTACACAACAACACAATTACAAAGAACATCCATTGCGAACACAGGGATGTGATCAGACAAACAATAGACAACAAACAAAGCCACCATATGAGAGGAAATACCTGTGAAAATGTCTACAAAGCTACTGTTTTTTTGGGGGGCTTGAAATACCCGTGAAAAATGTTATGGGGTCATCTTGGTAATTTTGATAATTTGAAGCGTCCACTTTTCAAACTTCTACATCTTGACTTTTACATATTTGTGTGGTATGTATGTATGTTATGTCTGAAAAAAAATATATATATATATATATATATATATATATGTACACATACATAAATATCACTGCACTTGTGCAATTTGATATTGGAACATTTTTTTAAGAATTATTGTCTCTTAGGCTCCGTTTGTTTGGACGTAAAATATTTTTTAAAAAATATTTTTTATTTTTTTGGTATTTAATTGTCGTAAAAAATTTATGAAGAAAATAATTATTAAAATTTAACAAAAATAAATTATCCATCAATTTTTGACAAGTTATTTTACGTGTCCAGCTCGATGGACTCGACCTCAACCTCAACATAGACCTTTTCCAAACACCGACAAAGTAAAAATAAAAAAAATATTTTACTTGAAAAAAAAAAAGATTTCAAAAAGAATATTTTAGGTCAAAACAAACGGAGCCTAGTCAGAGAAGAATTTGTTACTAATATTGTTATATGACAAATTAGGATAAATTGTAGAAAAATATTCTTATACTATCGTGAATTGAAAAGTACTCCCAGTGATGCATCTAATTTCCTAGACTATAAAATAATAACAATAATAAATAAATTACAAGTACTCCCACCGGTCGCCTTGGGCCTCATATTTTGAGGCCCATACAGGGTGGAAAAAATAAAAAAATAAAAAGTTAGGGCAAGTTTCAGACGACACAATCTGCTTCGCACTCCGTAGGGCGCAGCCTCCGCCATCGCCTCAGGTGACAAGGTATGTTCATCCTCTATCTCTCTCTTATCCCTCTTTTTGCATGAATCGATCTTTTATATATGTTTCTTTCTTTCTTTCGTTCATCTCATCATTTGATTTGTTCTAACTTTGGTTCGTTTGATTCGGGCCTTTACCTTTGTTCCAATAGTGAAAAGTAACTAGGGTTTTGTGTGTGTCATTGTCTGTGATGGCTATCAAGAGCTGAATGAATATGCTATGGTTCTCTTAGTATTTTAATAAATGTGTGCCTTTCTACATGTGTCTTCCATGGCAATCGAGTACATAATCTATGGTAGGTACTTTTTTTTTTTTTTGCCCCCTCCCTAAGTCCACTCCAATCTCACAACAGCAGCAACCATACCCCTTTTCCTCATAATAGGCTTCTGGATCCTTTGGCTTATAGAGGCGTGTTTGGTTGACTGTGTCTTCTTGACCCATTTTTTGTTATGGCTAGAATACTTATGGCGATATTGAAGTTTCTTCTTCCTTTGCCCCCTGTCAGAATAACTAGTCTGAAAAATGTCAGCTCGTTGCTTCCGTGGTTTCTTTCTTGTCACCAGAGTCCATCCTTCTTCATCATCCTGAAGAAAGACCCTTCCAAAGATTGAAACGTCAAATGCACTCCATTTGCCAAGAAAGATGGGGATTGGTTCCAATGAGCCAAACTGGATGGTTGTGCAATATATCTCAGAAATTGAAGGTTGAGAACGAGCACTCCCCAAGACAGAGGTTGTCACAGTAGCAATAGTATGATTTGAAGTTACAATTTCATCCGTGTCCAACAAGATTTTTCCTTGTTTTGCCAGGTCATCACCACCTCCTTGAAGATAAAACACTTCTCAATTGGATGACTAACAATACTATCATATTTGTAGTATTTTGGATCGTTGACATGTCCCATTTCTTGAGGGCATTTGCATTCAGGAAGTTCTATAACTTTACTTTCAAGTAAACATTCCAAGATGCCAGGGACATCGAAATCGGGGAAGGGGTATTCCTTCTTCTCTAACTCCTTTAGCGTAGGACGCTATCTTTCCCTCTCTTAAAACTGGCGAGGCTTTTTATCATCCTTCTTGTCATCTTTAACAGATATCTTGTTTGGGTGGTTGAGATAGCCATGGAATCTTTAACAACTGTCTTTGACGACTTATCGCCCTTCTTCCAGTCTTTTTTATCCTTGCGTGGTTCTATGGCCACGGGACTTTTGCCTTCATGGGATTTCATACTGATCTCCATGTCATGGGCACATGTTACCAATTTTTCAAATGTGCGAGGTTTTATACCTTGCAGAATGTAAAGAAGGCCCCAATGCATTCCCTGCATACACATCTCCACAGCAAAGATTTCTGACAATCGGTCCTTGTAGTCAAGACTGAGTGCTCTCTACCGATTAATGTAGTCGATTACAGGCTCATCATTCCATTGCTTCGTGTTAGTAAACTCTATCATACTAACAATACGACGAGTTCTATAGAACCTGTTTAAGAATTCTCGTTCCATTTGGTCCCAACTATCAATTAACTCTGACTTTAGGTCAGTGTACCACTCGAACGCATTTCCTTTAAGGGAGCAGACAAACTGTTTAACTAGTAAGTCCCCCTCTGTTCTGGCATTGTTGCAATGCTCGACAAAATGGGCAATGTGTTGCTTGGGGTTACCTTTTTCGTCAAATTATTGAATCTTCGGAGGTTGGTATCCTACATACATCCTCATACTGTCAATTCTCTTTGTATAGGGTTTTGAGTACATGAGAGTGCTCTGTGAGACGTATCCATATTGGGCTCGGATTGTATTCTTTATCATATCTTGCAATTGTGCGATAGATAATGAAGAGACTGAAGAAGCGTGACTGGTTTGACTAACTGCCTGTTCTTTTACCGATGTCTGGTTTTAACTAACCACCTGTTCTGTCACCGGCGTCTGTTTGGGGTCCTCTATACGAGTACCTTGTGCGGTAGAATTAGGATTCTTCGTCGGCATTACCATGGAAGATGTAAGATTCCCAGACAGTGGTGGTGAGAAAGTTGCACGATTCCCATTTGGCGGTGCTGTGGAAGATGTAGGATGCCCAGATTGTACTGGTGATTCACCGAAGGTCTGAACTTCCAATTTGTTCATCAGCATAGCGATTTGTAAGTCCTTCTCTTCAACAGTCTTTGTGAGGTTCTTAATGGCACGAGACATAGTTGCTAGTTATTCCTCCACCGTGGTAGCTCCAATCATCATAGCAGCGACCACATCTGAGTATGATAGGCCTTGAGAGTCAACGTTTCTTGAAGTGATTGAATACTCCGAAGTCTGACGTGGTGACTCTGGGGGTGAACCGACACTAGAGCGAGAATCATTGATGGAATAAGGTGAATCTGGTGGCGGAATCTCCTCTGGAACAACGTCAGTGTTCTTGACATGTTGGGTTTTCACGTTTGCCGGCTTTGCAGGATTGGTTTTCACCAAATCTTGCTGATGTTTGGATGAAGCCATCACCTGGGACTTGCTACGTGTCACAGGGCCCGCCAAGCTACTTCCATCATTAGGTTTGGCCTTCGTGCCACTTTTCATTGTGGCTTTGGCGTCGACCTTTGTGGTAGCGATGTTCTTTTGGGCTTTCTTCTCTGTCGGAGTCTTAGGGGGAGCCATAAAATCTGATAGAAAAGAAACTTAATGGTAGGAGAAAGAGATGAGAGGCAAAGCAGGTCCCACCGGGCGTGCCAGAAATTTGTACACACAAATTTTGTACTCTGCAATAAAGACAAAATATGGGCAAAATAATAATTTATTAAATCAGAAATATTTGGAGTACAGTCCTTTGTGATATCTTTTACAAAAAGAATGGTCCTCTGATTCGATCTTCTTTTTGTTATTGATTGGATCCAAGGGCTGCACGAGCTTGTTCTTGAATCACCGTGAAATTTGATGAAGAACGGCACATCGTTGGATATGCTTGTTGTTGATCACCGTGGGATTTAATAAAGAACGGCACGTTGTTGGATGTGCTTGATATTCTTCGCTTTTGGGTTTGGATGTTGGGGATGAGAGTTTTTGTATTTCTCTCTAGAATTCTAGATTTCTGAATTCTCAATTTGTGTACCCCTTCTCCCTTTCTCCAGGCCTCTATTTATAGGCCTCTTGGATCCATAGGATGATGACACGTGTCCTCTCTGATAAGGAAAATATCATAATTGGGCCGGGCCGGATATATTATGATAATTATCCTTAAAAATAATTATTCCAAATATATTTTATTAGGAATAATTATTCTTTTTATTTAACCATCTGAACTGGGCTTAATTAAATAATTTAAGTGGACCAAACTTGGCCAATTAAACAGTAGGCCCATATTTTATGAGTCCATTTGTCCAAATCAAAGTCCACTAAAATTTTAGTGTCTACAATGGTCTTTGTATTAAGACACCTTTCATCCTTGTTAAAGACCTCAGTACTCCTGTGATTTTAGGAACTCCATTTATTTCTCTTCTTTACCCATTCAAAGTTGATAGCCAAGGCATTTCAACAACTCTGGTTGGACAAGAGATTTGTTTTCCCTTTGCCCATCCTATAAACACCAAGGATCTTAATACCATCAAGGATTTTCATGTTTCTCAGATCCCAGCTGTCAACAAGATTGAGAGCAAAACAAAGCATTTAGATTTTCTCAAACAAGAACTGACCTTTAAACAGATTGATGAACGGCTCAGTCACAAAAGTCTCCAAGACTCTATTCAAAGGTTTAGATTAAGACTAGCAAGTCAAGTTTGCTCTGATCTCCCAAACACTTTCTGGCACAGAAGACAGCACATTGTTGAATTACCTTATGAAAAATCTTTCAATGAAAAGGATATCCCTACCAAAGCCCGTCCAAGGCAAATGAATCAAGAACTTCTTGATTACTGCATGAAGGAAGTCCAGGAATTATTAAGCAAATCCCTCATCTGAAAAAGCCATTCCCCATGGAGCTGTGCTGCTTTCTATGTCGAAAGGAATGCTGAAATAGAAAGAGGTGTTCCCAGATTAGTCATAAATTACAAGCCCCTCAATGAAGTCCTTCAATGGATCAGATATCCCCTGCCCAATAAAAAGGACCTAATCCAACGTCTAGTTCATGCAACGATTTTCTCAAAATTTGATCTAAAGTCAGGATTCTGGAAAATCCAAATTACTGAAAAAGATAGATACAAAACAGCTTTCACAGTTCCTTTTGGCCATTACGAATGGAATGTGATGCCTTTCGGATTGAAAAATGCCCCTTCAGAATTTCAAAAACTTTTGAATGATATTTTTATTCATCTTACAAATTTTTCAATTGTTTATATCGATGACATACTAATATTTTCTTCTTCCATAGATGCACATTGGAAATATCTCAATATATTTGCTCAAACCATCAAGCATAATAGATTAGTTATTTCTTTATCAAAGTTAATCTTGTTCCACACCAAGATCAGGTTCCTAGGTTTCAGATCCATCAGGGAACTATTATCCCAATCAATAGATCCATCCAATTTGCTGACAAATTCCCTGATGAAATTAAAGACAAAACCTAGCTTCAAAGATTTTAGGGTGCCTAAATTATCTTTCGGAGTTCTTCAAAGATCTTTCCCTTCTTTGTGCTCCATTATGCCAAAGACTAAAAAAGACCCCTCCATCATGGTCCGATGAGCATACAAGAACAGTCAGAATCCTTAAAAGCAAAGCAAAAAACCTCCCTTGCCTATCTATTGCTGATTCAGAAGCCTTCAAAATTGTGGAAACTGATGCCTCTGAATTAGGATATGGAGGTATCCTTAAACAAAAGACAGGTAGCAAGGAACAACTAGTCCAGTTTGCCTCTAGCAGATGGAACCAGGAACAACAAAATTACTCTACAGTCAAAAAGAAAATTTTATCTATAGTTTTGTGCATTTCAAATTTTCAAAGTGATTTACTAAATCAAAAATTTTTGGTTCGTGTTGATTGCCAATCTACAAAAACTGTTTTAAAAAAAGACGTTCATAACATAGTTTCAAAACAAATTTTTGCCCAATGGCAAGCTATTCTTTTCGTATTTGACTTTGATATTGAATATATAAAAGGAGAAAACAATTCTCTTCCTGACTTTCTCACCAGAGAATTTTTGCAAGGAAAAGTAGGAGCTTAAGGGCGGTCACCATGCCTCCCAAGACAGGTAGAGGAGCCTCAGTTGCTAGCACAAAACCCCACAAAACAAAAGATGCCTATGCACAATCATCCTCTTCCCAAACCCCTCCCAAAATAAGCTGGTATGATAAAGTTGAGGATGAAGCAGCAATATGTGCGAGCCAATCTCCATTGAATACGAACCAGTTTTCAGCACTAACAAAAATTCCGCAACATATCATAGATATGTCCCCAATCCAGTATGATCCCATCCAAACATACTTACAATCCTAACAACCAATTTTTCCTCCCCTTCAAAAATCTTATGCTGTAATTTCTTCAACGTCAGACAAACAAATTTCCTCAAGAACTGTTTCGCAACAAGTGGTGGTTAATAATCCCACTCTAAAAAAATCTCGTTATTTTCAAAAACCAAATTCATCAACCATTTGTGTGGTTGAAAAAGAACTTTTTAACCAAAACCCAATTTTACTTTCTCAAAATCATTTTGTCAAAGGTTTTCATTATCCTACATCAGATTTTCGAAAAATACAAAATTTTTATAAGTTTATTTTAGTGGACACTAATTCCATCAAGATTCGAACTCATTCAAAACCAGGTGATGAGTCTTTCATTTCTCACACCACTTGTACAATTCAAAAAGTCCTTACTCCAGTAGCCTGGGTAAAAACATTAATGCTCTGAGGCAATTTTCTCAGCCTTGCAATTCTCAAACTTTCAATTACTGGAACTATCAGGATGCCTGGTACAATACCTTTTATTTTTAAAATTAAGATTATAGCCATTCTTGGCTTATCCTTTTCCAAAAGAATTTCAATCTGAATGTCCCCAGATGGTTCATTGACTGGTGGCATATGTTTGGTCCCTGCAAAGAAATTATCTCTGATTCTATATCCAAGGGATTTTCAATCTTCCAAGAAAAATTTCAAGCTCCTCCTGAGCTTTCGAAATTTCCCAAATCATTCTTATTTTTTGCAAATTTCGCATTATCATGGATAGTTTTTTGGCAATTCCAAATCCTCAATTCCCCTTCCAATCGTCCTCTTCTAGGAAAATTTTCAAAGTTAAATTGTGGGACCAGTTCTCCATCAAGGATGTTACTATAGAAGCAATTTCAGAATGGTTCTCAAAGCATCCTACAATCTCTTATTCTGGCTTAAGAGAGTCTTCAACTTTCCTCCTGTCCAAAAGCCAAACCCAAGCAAGGCTTTCTTCAGCAAAATCCCAAGTCGAGTATGAAGCCTTCCTTATGGAAGCTTTAGCCCAAGTCAATCCCATAGCCTTCTCAAGAATGGGCTCGAACAGAAGTGAAGGCTCAGGTTCATTCTATGGCTCCCAAACAGATTTAGCCCAACCCAATGAAGATGACTGTTTTAGTATTTTCACCCAACAGCTCCAGTAACAAAATTTTCAAAGAATAATCATTTCCCTTAAAAAAAAAAAATTTACAGTTAAAAAATTTTATTCAACGGTTCTCCATTTTCAGGCATCTAGCACCTTTTGGTGCTCAAGACAGACAAGCGTTTCAGAAAAGGAATCCAAGGCAAGTCAGTAGCCATCACTTCAATTCAGCCTTTCAGGCTTTGCACATGGCCTCCAGCATCATTCAGCAGCCATCAGATCAATTCAGCCTTTCAGCCTTTGCACATGGCCTGCATCCTTATCCCCAAAGAATCCAAGGCTTCCCAAGGCTCCTTCGAGGCCCTATAAATAGCATCTCCTCAAGACATTGAAGGCAGGCTAGAACCAAGTTTAGTTTATAGTTTCATTTCAAAAGTTCTTAGTTCAAATTGTAATATTTAAGTTATTAGTTTTACTTTATCCAAGAAGCTCAGCTCAGAACAAAGTATTGTATTCAAAGATCAAAGTTGTAAGTTCCATGTTTCAATCAAAGTTATTCATGTTCTATTGTTTATTTATTATTGACTTACATATACATATATATTTCTATATTTCATTGATTATTTAACCTTTTCATTATTCTGTTTCTTTCATAATTCATTATCAGTTATTTATCTTGGGTGCTTATGATAATAAAATAAAATAAAATTTTATTTACTATTCAAGTATAATTGAAAATTAATAAAATAGCATTTTTTATTTTACTATTCGATTCTAATAAAATATTTTAATTTTTACTTATTATTAAAGTATAATTGAAAAATAATAAAATAATATTTTATTTATTATTTGAGTATAATTAAAAATTAATTAAATAATAAATAATAGTACTTGAAAATCAAAGCTTCATTTTAAAGTTGTGGGAATTATGAAGGAATGACAGTTTTGACAATAGAATTATCAAACGAATTTTGTTGCCCTAATTTAAATATAAAAAAATAAATTAAAAACTATAACAAAAAATACCAAAACTGAAAACCTTATAAAAAAGGCCCTTAGTTTCAAGTTTCAACCCATTTAAATCGGGTTTCAACCCATTTAAATCGGGTTAAAAATATACCTCATGAAAGACCCAAATATAACCTTTGTTCCCCAAATCAGCGCTCCATGTCTAGCAACTTTTGTTCCCGGAAACCCTAAATCCAGCTGTGTCTTTCCCTCCTGTCTCTCTTAATGTCAACTGAAATTAGAACACAAAGACAACAAAACTATATCAGTCTTCCATAGAAAGATATATATATATATATATTTATGTATATATAAGCTAGAGAAATAAACCATATATAAAGAGAAAGCTAGAGATAGAACACAGAGAGAGTAACTTACCTTCTGTCACTGTGAGAAGAAGATCCAGGATGGAAATAATTTATGCATATATATATTTTTCACATATACATCTATATTAATATAGTTGTTGATTACTTACATTCGAAGTGTGTTTTTAAGCTTGAGGCTGAAGAGCTTCAGAGTGTAGGAGAGAAGGAGAGCGAAATCTGGTGGGGTTTCGATTGTGGCGGTGATTTTTGTTGTTTGATTTGGATTATGGTTGGTGAGAAATCTTGTGGGTTTTAGATAGGGAGCGGTGAAAAATGGGTATTGATTCCAAACATGCTTCACATGTTCGACGATTTGCTCCAGAGAACCACAACTTTTATAATCAAAACGATTTTTATAACTGAAATGAGACTGACGACGAAGAGGCCATGGAAGGAAAGGGCTTAGAGTTCAATAGCTTGTTTCGAACCAATCGGCCCACCATTGTGTGCGTATTGCTGCTTCATTACCTCTCCCTGTTAATGGCTAAAAGAGTAATGGGTTAAGTGCAAAAAACCAAAAACAAAAAAACGAAACCTCAACTACTGGTAGAGTGCAAAAAGGTACATGTGTGATATAAAACCAATCCGCACTATTAATTTGGTGCAAATAGGTTCATGATATAAAATGATATCCTCTCCCTTCAGTTAAATACATTAATAACTATAATTGCAAACCATGTAAAATGAGTCTTTTATTCAATTTGTATAAAATTGTGTTTGTTTAGGACAAGAATAAAATAAACCTCAATTTGTATAAAATTAGGATAAGCTAAATCAAAGAAACATAAAACGGGACATAATAAAAACCGAAACCAAACAATCCCAAAATCATCCATGCCGCCTCCTCCCCACCATGGTCGCCGCCTCCTTCCACTTCCTTCCCACCATGACCGCCGCCTCCTCCCGCCTCCTCCCCACTATGGCTTTGTAGATCAGAGCTTTAAATAGGTGAGTACTTTCTGAAATCCCTTCCAAAAACTCTCTCTCTAAATATATATCTGTGTTATTGTATCTTTTATCATTTTAAGCATGTTTTATCACGAATTCAAGTATACGAACTCAACTAAAGTCAAAACTTAATAATTTAGACATTCCTACCTCAAAAGTAGCCAAAATGCATCCCTGACCGGAAAGTCAATGTCGGTCAACGCAGGTCAACGACGGCGGAACGGAAAATTGTTCGGTGGGAACGTAGCCGACGACAAGGAGATTCTACTATTCCAAAGGCGTGCCTCTGGAATCCGACTCCAAGTGGCCTAAAAACCCATTCGAAGCCTTAAATTCAAAATTTTTAAAAATTCATAAAATAATCATCGCCTCTCCAAAAATTAAATCCTTTAACTATGTGATAGAGAATGACGAGAGGAACATTTTCTGTCAAGGAACCAAAACCAAGAACCCGATCTATTGGCGGAAAAATGGAGTAGAAATTGAAACCTCCAAAAGAAAAGAAAAATAAAAGAAAAATAGGAGAGAAAGGGAGGCTGCGAGAGAGAGAGAGAGAATCTGAAAAGAAAAAGGGGCTTTGACCCCTTTTAGCCACAAGTGCTCAAGTGGGGTCCACGAGACCCCAAATATCTTCCTTGCCTCCAAATATATATATATATATATATATATATAGAGAGAGAGAGAGAGAGAGAGAGAGACATAAGCACATGCCACAACACGCCTTTTGGTATGTAGCCACCCAAATATGCAACAAATAAATAAATACGAAGTGCATTGACATCAAAAAAAAATAATCTCATGCACAAAAAATCAGGGTACGCGTCTCGCCCGGGACCTCTTAGCCCGAAAAACTAAAAAAGGCCGAAATGGCCAATAATGAATTTCTAAAAGTCCTGAACTCAAAGAAATGCCCAAACCAATACTCAGTCACATCCTGCATACTCCACTATATTTGGCATGCAAAACGAGACAAAGTGAAAATAATCTAGAAAAATCAGAAAAAATCCTAGAAATTGGAAAATAAGAAAAATCGGAAACATTACATTAATTTATATCAAACGTTCTTAAAAACAAATGTTGGTTTAAATTATATCAATAACGATTTTTTATTACGTCAGTAAATAAAGTTATCAAAATACCAATATTTTCTTCCTTCAGAACGATTCATAGCTTTCAATACAAATAGAAAAGTTATTTCAATAAATTAAATTCTTTGAACCCACAATTAAATCGAGTGGTCACTGGATTTCTAATTTAATTATATTTTCAATACAATTTTTTTTAACAATTATAGTTTTACCCCACTAAATTCAAAAGTCCTTTAAAAATTCAACAATTCAAAAAGACCTCTTTTTTTTTTCTTTTTTTTTTTTTCATTGGCTCAACAAGTTTTTTAAAATTAAAACAAAAACCCATGTTCACTGGTGGAACCATGTTATTTTCTATACAAAATTTTAATAATTATACTTGTGACCCCACTAAACTCTATACAAGTTCACAATAGTACGTAAAAGATATTATAAAATTCAAAAGGACTCCTCCTTTTTTCATGTCACTGACGTGGACTAAAATCGTCTTCGGTGGAACAGTGCTCCTATTCCAGCCATTCCATGGTAAAAAGTAAAAAGTTTAAAATCTATATTTATGAAAATATAAATTATATACATAATATATATAGATTATAAACATAATATATACATATATCATAACAGTGTTGTAGCCAATTTGAAAATTGAAATTTCAAAAACCTGCCCTTCATTGTATCTTCTTCTCTCCCAAAGCCCAAAATAAAATCAGATCTTTCTTTGTTACCAAAACAAGAGAGAGGTCTCATCTCTTTCCCAAAATTTGTTCTTATTTCTTTCTTTACTTCTATAGATAATTGTTTCCAAAGAAACAGAGCAGTTGGTACATCATGCTGTGAATTGGCGGGTACATGAATAGCTGGAAAAGGAAAGTTATAAGAAGGAAGGGAGAGAAGAGAAAAACTTACATATTTTCAATATTGTAAGTTAAAGTCAGTTCCAATATATTAGGTTTGTTTTTTTTCTTTTTTTTTTTTTTTTTTTTTTTTTTTTTGTAATTTGTTGATGTATTTATAAGTTTATTCATGAACTGAACCATCATTAAAGGTTATATATATTGTATTGTATTTGAACTATAATTAATGTTGCAGACAAATATTGCATTTATTGTTCTTATGATTATTTGGGTTCGTATTTTGAAAAGAAAAAAAAAAAATTGGTTAATTTTTATTTAATTCTGAACCCTAATTAATGTTGGAAATAAATATTACATTTATCATTGTACTAATTCTTTAGGATCGTATTTTGAAGAAAAAATTTCAACCCATTTTAATGAGTTCTGAACCATAATTAATGTTGGAAACAAATATTGCATTTATTATTCTTACGATTAATTGGGTTCATATTTTGAAGAATAACTCTTAACCTTTTTTTTTATGACATGTGAACCCTAATTAATGTTGGAGAGGGATTTATATTTTTAAATATCAGTATATAGTTGATAATTAATAAATGGATGGGAAATTGTTCAAATTTTATTGCTGATACATACTAGAAAATAGTTGGGTTGTACTTTGTTATACGGAATGGACCATATGTTTTTGTTTGATATTATTTGTACTAGTAATTGGGAATTATGAGTAGTCGTAATAATTAGTAAATTAACATGGTTTTAATATTTAAGAAAATACCAGCCCAAAAAAAGATTTGAAGTTCATGCCTCAGTTGTAAAAAGTAAAATAAAAAATTAAACTGTCACATTATTGTACGAAATTAAATATATTCATTGACTTCAATTTTTTCTATAGTCCTATCCTAACTTTACGAAATTACTTGCTCCATGCTATCAAACTGCGTCCTCAATTCTTGTCTCTTAGTCTACGGGAAATACTTATCAAAGAAAAGACCCTTAAATGCATCTCAACTTATACTGTCGATATCGTGCATGCTAGTCATGGTCATCCACCATACTTCCATGTTGCCAACAAACTTATACGTAGCTAAGGTGATTTTCAATTGATCATCGGGCATGGCTATTGCCCTGAAATGTTTTTCACCTTGTTCAAACCAATCGTCTGCAACTAATAGATCTGGACCTCCTTTAAAGGCTACTTTCATTAGTTTGTCAAACTAGATAAGGTACCGAAGATTTTGTTCTATCTCCGCATTTTTGTACAGGAGGAGAGAGAAAGGGGGACGAAAATAGGAGGAAAGAGTTAATAATAATAATAATAATAATAATAATAATAACAAAAACGGAGGAGAGAGAATGTAATGGTTGTAATTTATATTTATATATGTAGGTGTATGTGGTAAAATTAAAAAGAAAAATCAAAAGGTGGTTTTAGTGGTAGGACGCACCACTAATATGATTTGTGTGGTCAAGAGGCCACTTAGCCTCTCATTCTCTCTTCCTCATTTCCTCTTCCGGCACCACCTTCCTTCCTTCTTTTCTATTTCATTTTCTTTTCACCTTGTTTCAAGGCTTCAAAATTTGATTACTCCCTCATTTGTGAGAATTTTTGGATGTCGTTTGCGGCAAAACGGAGAGTACGACGAGATCTAGGTATGAGTACAAGCAATTTCAGTTTTAGCCTCCCCTAGGATTTCGAGTTTTGAAACCCATTTTGAGGGTTTTTCTACAATTTGAGGTAGGGGTTCCTAATTCATGAAATTCTTGCTCCCTTGTGAATTATTTTTTGTTAATTATAACTAAGCATGCTTAATTTGAGATGAATGCCTCTAAAATGATTTGGTTTTGTATATGGAATTCATGATTATGTGTATAAGTAAATTTATGTGAAAAGCATGCTTAAATGTTGGTTTTATATGCTTGTGTACTTGATAACTTGTTTAAAACTTACTATGTGGTAAGCATGTTTACGCATTAATTTCTCATGCCTATGGTGTTAGTAACTTACTAGAAATTGTTAAATGGAAGCATGTTAATTGGTGTAGATAAATGAAAAATTGGGATTATTGGTTGTAAAAATAAATGTAAAATTGGGATTATTAGTTGTAGAAATAAATTTAGAATTTCTTCTCAAAATGTGAATATGACGTTGATGGAATATATATAATTTAATTGTTGGATTTGCAAATTAAAAATATGTAAAATGTCATGATTTGGAAATATGAAAATGCGGTATTGTGTGGAAATTCATGTTTTAAAACATGCTTAAATGATGCGGATAATATGTATGAAATTCTATGTTGTCATGGCATTGAAGGAATTGCATAATTCATGCATTGTCATTGGGAAAGTAAAAGGAAAAGTTTGTTTTAAAAACAAATGGAATTATTTTTGGGAAAAAGTTTTTCTAAAAATGTTTGCAAAAACCGGATGCCTAGGAGGCGCCTAGTGATCCGTGATATTAGTGTAGTCTAGAGGGGAGTATGGTTAAGCTAACTAGGCCAGATGCGAAGCCTTGGAGGTGCCTTGTGGTCGTGGATGGTTGGTCAATCCTCCTTTCGTGACGCCTTGGAGGTGCCTTGGGTTGGATTACACTAATGATTTGGAGGTTGAAACAGAAATGTTTCGGAACAGGGAGTAATACACATGACATTGCATTCCATAGCATGGCATGGTTTGTTACGACTTGGATTATTGTTGTTGATGTTGTTGTTATATTTATCCCGGTAATGGCATGATCCCAGTTCTTTTTCCTATTCCTTATTTGGATTCACGGAGTCATAAGAAGTATGTTTTAGGCACTACCTACTGAGCAATTTGCTCACCCCATATATTTTACATTTTTCATGTCATAGGAAGGAAGTGGCGGACGACGCTCCTCCACAGGGTTCGATGGGTTTGTGGACTGCTTTGACATATCTTGTAGTTATGATCTCTTTTTATTATTATTGCTATTACTATTTTTTTTTTGAAAACCCTAGGATGACACGTATATTATGTATTGAAGTAAGAAATGACGATAATGTCCTTAATTGACCTCGGATTCAGATAAGGACCCGGTTAGCGATTCGGACCCACAGATTTAGGTCGTTACAGTAAGTAGGTTGGGCAAAGCAGCGGCCATTCAACCATCTCTCAAAACAGTAAGCACTTTCTTAATGCTTTGAATAGCGCGCGAAGTCGTCAACAAGCAAAGAAGCGATTTGTACAGGAGGAGAGAGAAAGGGGAAGATAATAAGAGGAGAGAGTAAAAAATAATAATAATAACGGAGGAGAGAGAAACGGAGATCGAGAAGAGAGAGAATATGAGGAAAGAGAATAAAAGGGACAAAAGAGAGATTAGGAGGAGAGAGATTAAAGGGAGGAGAGATAAAATATTAATATTAATTTAATACGTGGTTTTAGCAACTAGATAAGCATTGAGAGACATGGTGGCATGGCCCCTAAAATTTTTGGGTGAAAAAAATTTAAAAATAAGTTCAGAAAAGATATTATTATTGGCCATTTCAAAACTACAAGGGAACCTGAATTTGGACCCCTGCCCTTTTTTTCTTTACTTTTAAAATTTTCATTTTAAAAGAAACGCACAAAGAATAACTATATTTCCGTTATTCTCATTTCATATACTTAAGAATTATGAATTATTTTTATTTATAAATAATCAAATA